AGAAAGGAAGCCTTCTCCACTGCTGGTGGGAGTGCAGACTGGTGCAGCCACGGTGGAAATCAGTATGGAGATACCTCAAAGAACTAGGGCTAGAGGTCCCATTTGACCCAGCTATTCCCCTGCTGGGGATCTTCCCCAAAGAATTAAAAGACTCATACCACAGTGATAGATGTGACCCCATGTTCATAGCGGCACAGTTTGTAATAGCTAAAGCTTGGAGGCAGCCTAAGTGCCCATCAACTGGAACCTGGATAAAGAAAATGTGCGGGTTTTTAATAAAAGCCATAAAGAATGAAAAAGAATGAAAAACTAGAGTCATTGATAGCTAAATGGATGTATATCAAGGCCATGCTCTTCAGGGAAACAAATAGGACACACATGTGTAAATACCAAATACTTTGGCTAGTGTGAGAAACTGATAGTGTAAGCAAGGGTTAAAGTGATTAAAATGGATAATGGATCATTTGAAATAGGAAAAAAGGTCCAAAGACGAAGGGGTGAAGGGAGGGGAACGGGAAAGATAAAGAGGGAAAGGAAAAACTACGAGAAAAGAAAACATAAATGGAAATGATGTCTATGGAAATAGGGAAGGGTGGAGGGGGTGCAGGGCACACAGGTAATGGGGGAAAAAAATAAGAACCAAGATACATCATGTACAGGTACAAACACCCAATGATAAATGGAAATGAATCGTATACCCGAAATGTACCAATAAAAGAACTTAAAATTGAAACATTAACAAAGAAACAAAAGAAAAACGAGGGAAGATTTTTGAAGAAACGTAAAACTGTCATGACTAGAAAACACAAGCACGGTAGAGATTAACTGAACTATATCAATGATCATCGTTAATCTGAATTACCTAAATATACCAATTTAAACGTAAAGACTGTCAGAGTGTACTTTTGAAAACAATTCAAGTATAGCTTTTCTAGTCTACGTAATTCCATTTGACATAAGTGAAAGTGGAAGGATAGAGAAGGATGCTATACCATGGCAACACAACCCAATGAGATCTGAACAAGCAATATCAATTTCAGACAAAGCAGACTTCAAGAAAGAATCAGGGATAAAGAATTGTACTAGATAAGGATAAATGGAGTCAGCTCTCCAAGAAAGCATAGTAAATCTTAACATACATGCACCTGAACAACTGATTCTCAAAATATGGGGGGGGGGGGAGACCATTAGAGCTACCAGAAGAAATAGACACATACCTTATTATCGTTGGAAACTTCAACACTCTTCAATCAGTAATTGATAGATGCAGCTGAAAGAAGAAATGCAAGTGCACAGTTGAATGAAAGGCCACCATCAATTCATCGGATGTAACTGACATTTCCTAAATACTTCATCCAACAAAGCAGAACACATTCTCTTGAAGCTCACGGGGAACATTTACTAAGACAGACCCCATTCTAGGCCACAGGACGGATGTTAACAAATCGTAGTTTGTTCTTGGACTACAGTGAAATTAAGCTCGATATCAATAATAGAGACATAGCTAGAAAATCCCCAAAATATTTAGACTGGAACACACTTCCAAATAACATTTATCAGGAGCGTCTCGAGAAACTTTAAAATATTTTAAAGTAAATGATGAGAACACAAAGTATCAAAATATGTTGAAGGCAGCAAAACCAGCGCATAGAGGAAAGTTGATAACATTGAAAGCATAGTGTTAGAAAAAAATGAAACAGTAATCTAAGCTTCCACTTTAGGAAGCTACACAAATGCGAGCAATATAAAATGAATGCAAGGGCCGGGGATCGAGCTCAGTGGTTCCGCCACCTGCCTCACAAGTGCAAGGTCCCAAGGTTCGATCCCCGGTACCCAAATAAAGAAATAAATAAAACGAGTGCAAACAAAAGAAGAAAAAAAAACAATGAAAATTAGTGCATAAATCAATACAACGGAAAAATAAAAAAAAATTTTAAATATTGCTAAAAGCAGAATATGGTTCTTTGAAGATGAATGAAATCGATAAATCCTAACCAGGCTCATCAAGACAAAGAGAGAAAGAGGTCAATTACTAATATCACAAACAAGAGAGGACATCAATACTGAGCTCGTTGAAATGAAGAAGATAATTAACAGTATCCTGAACAACTCTATGCTGTCAGAGACCAGAGAAGCGAGGCCTAACTGGCCTCTCTGAGCACAAAGGAGAAAGGCTACACTCAGGGTGACTCCATATTGTGGGTTCCAGGGAAAAGCCAGAACACCTAAGATTGAAGTGTTTACCAGAGTATGTACTAGTGGATATTGGAAAGCAGATGAACCTTGTGCTACTTTGATTGCTTGTACCGGTGTTTAGGTGAATAAATGCAAGATGAGCCAGATGCTGGGGCTCCTAAGGGGCCAGAGTCCCCTGGCTGCCCAAAGTTAAACCGAGTCACGTCTCTTTGTCATTCGTCCTTGCTTGCCCCCAGGTCAAAAAGAACAAAGTACCAGGTCTAGGTCCCAGTAGAAGGCTTGACTTGGCCAGTGGGGTGGGTCGGCTACACTATGTCACAAATTTGATCCTTTAAATGAAATGGACCAATTCCCCGCAAGATACAATCTGCAACACATATAGGAGAAATAAAACGCCAGAAACTAGAAACAACCAAATGATATCAATAAGTGAGCGGATGAACAAACATTAGTACATTCATACAATGGAACATCATGAAGCAAGGAAAAAAGCAATAACAGTGCTCAGCCATCCAGGCACATGGAAGCTGGGACCAGCATGGCCCGGAATTCACTGTCCCTGTCAGCACAGCCGGGGTCCCAGAGAGGCCTTCGGGACAAGGAAGGAAGAGCCTGTCGCAGGACGCCGAAGGCCCCGGGCCACAGGAAGGCAGAGCGCCAGGGCAGCGAACAGCTCACTTGAGACCCGCCTGTGCCACTGGGGAGCTGAGCTCAGGCGCCTAGCAGAGCCCTCAGGGCAAGGATCCCAGTGGGGCGTCACTGTGGCCCCAGGAACAAACCATCAGATAACCGGGAAAGGGCAGGGTCCTCCTATGCAGAGGAGTCTGGATTGCTTGTTGGAGATGCTCTGCCCTCTGGGGAGCCTAGGTCCCCACCCTTGCTCTGAGCTGTGCCAGGCCAGCATTCTCTGTTTTCCTGGAAGCTAAACCTCTTCCAAACAAAAGTTAATCAAGAAATGTAAAGACCTGAATTGAACAAGCAAAAGTTCAGTGTGTGATTTCTAGGGTCACTAGGGAAAAACCAGAAACCAGATACATCACTCCTAACTGCAAGAGAAAAGGAAAAGTCAGGCGTGGTGGTGCTTCCCAGCAATCTCAGATCTCGGAAACTGAGGCAGGAGGACCTCTGTGAGCTCAAGACCAATCTGGGCTACTGAGCAAGACCTACACACTCTCTTTCTCTCTCTCTCTTTCTCTCTCTCTCCTTCTCTCTCAGAAAAAGGAACAGTGAGGTGAATTACTTCTGAAGAAATAACGAAAAGCTTCAAGCCTACTTAGAGAAAGCAAGAGAGAGAGGCAGACAGAATAAGGTGGTAGAAATGAGCACGAATATACGAACATATTCTCTTTAGGCTACCCATCCTCATACAATCCTGGCAGAGCTGGGGCCCCTGGCAACCTCAGCGCATGATCTCAGCTCAGGGCTCTGCTGCCCTCCGGTGGCCCCTCGCTGTCACTGCATGCCCTGCCTGCTCCAGTCCCAGGAGGAGAGAGCTCCAGCTTGGGAAGCTGACCTGCAGGGATGCGCGCCCTCCTCCTGCCCCCAGGTCACCCTCGCGTCCCTCTCCCTTGGGGACACTTTAGAGCTACCTGTCCGCAGAGCCTCACGCACTCACAAGCTGCCTCTCGGACGTGATTGCCTCATGGGCGTGGTACACCTGGGTTGTCAGGAGGTGGGATCTGGGCTGAGAGAAATCGCCTGGTTCAGGGCCTGGAAGCCTTCATCTCACTGCCTCCGCTCCATGGACTCTGCTTTCTGTCTGCCAGTCCCCTCTGCCATGCTGCGCTGCCTTCGAGCTGCTGACTAGGGACTGAAACCTCTACAAAGTGTGAGCCGAGATAAACCTCTCCTCGGTTAACTTGTGTGTGTCCGGTAGCGTGTCTCGGTGACCAAGTCACTCCCCTCGAGGTCCTGCCCTTGACACCTGCAGGGCACGTGAGTGACACCTCTCGGGGGCAGGTCCAACCTTGGCTCTTGGCGAGGTTCTGCAGATGTGGTGGGTCAGCCCCTGGTGAGTCCTGGATGGGTCTAGGCCCCTGCCCCAGGTGTGTGGTCAAAAACAGTAGGGTGTGCGGGTGCAGGAGTGGGGCTGCCTGTGTCCGACGCTCTCAACAAGGCCCTGGCAGCTTCCCAGCCGGACCTGTGTCCGCCTCAGCCTGAGAGTGTGGGCCCACCTGAGCCACACTAGAGCTCCTGATCTGGCGAGACCCGTGGGGTCCTGATCCTTCCACGAGCTCTAGAAAGGCTCGATCGGTCTCTGGGAGGGCCTGATTCCCCTGCTGCTCAGCCACCACACAGCGCCCAGTCATGTCCTGTCCTCGTGGGATTTCTTCCCCAGCTAGCAAGGGCGGCCCATTGTGACCTCACTGGTGTGTAGGGCTGTCTTAGTCTTCAAGCTGCAGTCCTTCTGCCCCAAGACCTCTGCTGCTTTGCTGATCTCAAGACACTGACAATATTGCTTGCTGTCTGCTCAGGGCCTGGTCGTCTCCATGGCAAAAGTCTTTGGCCATTCATACCCGTGTCCATCCGTTGCCTCGGCCTTTCTCTTCAGCCATAGCAAGTGTCCTAGCAGAGGTTCTTCAGCCTTAGTCAGCCCACTTTAGCTTGCTCCTTTTCTTCCTCGTAGGCACAACAGGCATTGGGCTCTCCCATCCCAACAGCAGCATATGCATCCTTTTCAACTGGAATACATTTTAAAGTGATTTTTTTAATAATGTCACCCATAATTCATTCTTCTGTTACGGCTGAATTTGGGACCCATATCATTTATCAAGATTTCAGGGTAAAAGTAATCAATACATTTGAAAGCCTTAAGTAATGAAAAGTTGGTTTGTTTCTTCATTTCTGACATCTGACTTCAGGAAGGTTTAAAAAACTTCCAGCATTCACTGTGTTGTTCTCCTTCCTCAGACCTGGCTCCACTTCTGGGTTCTTCGGCATACCTTCTCTTATCTATTCCAGGCTTCCCTCGGGCTGTAGCAGCTCTCAGATGATTTCCCAAGATGAGAAGACTCTCATTTCCATCATTTCAAATAACATTCTTCACGTTTGTTCTGATTGGGTTTGTGTAAAGGATTTAGTCATAACCAACCTGTATAACCATGGAAATGATTATCCTTATTGGGTTTAATCCAAACAAAATCCACTCCCAAAAGTACACATTGGAGGTCTTGGGTTGAAGGTGGAGGTGTTCTCCCAAAATAAGCTGTGATGTTCCTACAACTATGCATGACAAAAAGTGTCTGTTACAGGCTTCCAACTGTCCCTGGGCATAAATGTACACATCCCATCCTCTTCCTAAGACACTATGTTGCCTAAATCCTCACTCAATACAGTCCCAGCTTCCATTCTTTGTTGCATTTCTAATTCAAACATTTAGGTGTGAAACACATATCACGTACACACATCCTTGACATCCACACCTGATTCAGTCTGAGATCACCTCAGCTGAAATAGCCCTGATAGCCACACTATTCTTGATTATCACTATTCAACGCTTCTGTGAAATTCATATCTACTGTTGATGCAGGTACAAGTGAGCAAAAGAGAAATGAGGAAAGAAACACAGTTCAGAAACCCATCTGTGCACTCATTCCACAGTTATAAATACTTCAAGGACCAAACTACTACTGCAAACAAAACAGGGCGTTGGAGCAAAACATGAAAATAAAGACTCATCATCAGTCCTAAACTCCCATTCTGTGCATCATGATGTGCATTACTGAAAAGAAAATTGTCTTCAATAAATTGTAAGGTTGTATGCTCTAAATATTTCATAGATTTCTTATAACAATTCTAGATCACTTATCAGAAATTGCATCCTTTTATGGAAATGACAGGTTATGGATTCTATCTGGATGTCCCCCTCAAGCCCCTTGCACCCAGAGGTGAGGGCTTCCAGAGGGTGACTGGGTGATGGGGGTGCTATGCCAGGCTGGGTGTCAGGATGTGGGCCTGGTTGGAAGAGGTGGGTCGGTGCAGGTGTGACCTGGGAGGGTATATCTTCCTCCCTGGCCCACACTTTACTGTGTGCCTCCTGGCCACCACCAGGCAAGCAGTATTTCTATCAGTGTGCACCTCTGACATGCCATCCTGCCATCCTGGAACTTGCTAACTATGAACTGAAATGTGAGCTAACCAAACCAGCACTCCAAAAAATCTTAAACAATATCCTAGAAAAAAATGATGATCACAACCCCAGGAAGCTCACCAGAATGAATCAATCAGGCACAACAAGAAATTAAATGCAAAGTGGGAGAATCTAACAAAAAGAAAAAGTCATGACAAGGATAAGTCAATACTTCTCAGTTATAACCATCAATGTTAATAGTCTCACTTCACCAATTAAAAGAAACAAGACTGGTAGAATGGGTCAAGAACCAAGATCCACCAATATGCTGCATACCAGAAGCACACTTAATTCAAAAAGAAACTCATAGACTGTTTAAAAAAGATGTGATTTTTTTAATATAAAATGGAGTATTACTCAGCCATACAGAATGATAAACTAGAGATATTTATAGCTAAATGGATGCACATTGAGGCCATACTCTTAAGTGAAATAATTAGAACACACATGTGTAAATACACAATAGTTTTTCTGGTATGAGAAACTGAAAGTGTAAATAAGGATCAAAATAGATAATGTGAAGTAGGGAGAAAAGGTGCAAAGGGCAAGGGGAAGGGGGAGGGGGAGGAAAAGGAAAGAAGGGAAAGAAATATGAGATAAGGAACAAAAGGAAACAAAGTCTTGGTAAATGAGGGGTGGAGGGGTTGAAAGGAGGACAGGGGACTGGGGAAAAAATAAGAACCAAGATATATCATTTTAAGATACAAATTCCTAATGACGAATGTCCTCGTATTGTATACCTAAAATGTTCCAATAAACTTAATGAACAAAAAAAATTCTCGGCACCAGTAAGTCTCTAGGTGTCAAACAATTTCTAGCTATAGTCTCAGGGAAGTGGCAATCAGTACCTCAGAGGCAATAATTTATAATCTCTAACTATGCTTTGGAAATTATCCTTTCACACCAAGCCAAATTAAGTCTCTTGTGAACATCGGGGGTGTGTGCATTTATTTTGATCCTTGGAATCACAAGCAAAATTGAACTGCATCTTGTATATTATATAGTAGCAATTCAAATACCTAAATATTTTTTAAAAAGTCAACCTCTTTGCAGTGTAATTTATGTACGAATATCACAGACATTTTTAGTCTATGGTTCTATGGGTATTTAAAAGAAAAAACTTTCGCAGAGTGGGAAATTAAACTTACTGCCATCCTTACCCCTTATTGGAGATGTTTTGAGATAGATGTTTATTTTGAGAGCTTGCGAAGTTGCCCAGGCTGGGCTCAAACTTATGATCCTTCTACTTCAGCCTCCTAGAGTACTGGGTTTACAGACATGCACCAGTATTTTTAATTTTGGTTCAAAAACCTGAAATTTTACTATCTTAATCATTTTTTGAAAAGATACCATATATATATAAATACATATATGTATATATATACATTTTTTTAAAAATAGGATCCATTATCATTACTTTAAGAGTTGCATAGCTACTGACTTTGAAAGGCTAGTCATCCATCAAGCGCTTCAGCACCAAAAATTACCCTATCTAAACTTACACAAATGTTTTATCTACCAAAGCCTGCCACAACCAAGAATGCACAAATATTGACCAACTAATTTTTCTTAGTCCATATAGCTTTTTAATCCATTAAAGTGACTAAGAGAATCAATATTATGGAGCTTAACTTTCCTCAGGTATTTGACATGGAGAAATTAGCAATTATTCTCCCAAAAAGAACTCCACTGCTGACAAAAATTACTTCAAAAATGTTGTCACTGCCGGGGATTTAGCTCAGTGGTTTTGCTGCCTGCCTCACAAGCACAAGGTCCCAAGTTCAATCCCTGGTACCAAACAAACAAAAATGTTGTCACTGAAAAATCAAACCATCATTTATAATTTTGGAGCAATTATTTAATGATATTCTTTTGGAGACAAGTTATGGTCCTGCTGATAAACGTGGCAATCAGAAACTCACAGCTATTTGAGTTATTTTTGGTATATATAGCAGAAAAATTACCAGCAAATTAAAAGTCATTGCAATAAAAATAAGAAAAGCACAATTTTGATGGCAAAAGAAAATTTTATGCAAATTATATTGACTCTAATATGAAAGAAAAATAGGCAAAATTGTATACATGGTATAATATAAAATGTTGGGCTATAAGCAGGTATCTTTTTTAGTATATGTGCTGCCAAAGTGAGCACTATAAGCAGCTATCTTGTCTGGATATGAGAAACATAACATGCTAATCTACAAGTTGTGTGCAAACAAATCATATGGTCATATGTCTTTGAAAATATGTATCATAATATAAAATATGGCATCAAATTAAAAAATACCTTTTGTTACACAGAATACAGAGCACATACCAAAATTTTAAAACAAAGGTAGTGGCATAATCCTAACAATTAACAAAAAGCAATAAACAATTAAGTTTTTTAGTGACCTATTACTCCCAATTGTAAAGACTAAACACAAACTACATAAATACTAACTCTACTTGAAAGTAAAAAATACATTTCAATTCACCATGCTTAATTAAAAGACACTATGTATTAAACTCAGACACACACAAAAATACCTAATTATGTCATCTCAATATTTTTATATTAGGGCTGGAGTTTTAGCTCAGGGGGACCAAGCCTGCCTTGCATGTGTAAGGTCCTGAGTTTGATTCCTGTTACAAAAAAATTTTTTAATATTAAACAATGATGATACATAATCCAGATATATAAGTGATTTACTGGAAAACACATAATGTATGTACTTTAGGCTGCCTCTATCTAGGATTGTACTTCCTGGAAATTTTATGGAGAAATACTGACATCCAGTTTTTGTACTAATTATTCCTATAGGTGTTCATTACATGACAAATTTTTACAGGATTTTCAAAATAGGCTTACATATAGTTTCTCCCAGTAAGACTTCTTTCATGTATTTGACAATATGTGTATGCTAAAAGCATTCCCACACTGCTCACATACACAGAATTAATGCTGACTGTGAGTTCTTTCGTGTATTCTACAATAACTTTGTGTACTAAAAGCTTTTCCACACTGCTTACATACATAGGGTTTCTCCCCAGTGTGAATTCTTTCATGTATTTTACAATAA